AAGGAGAGACTCGTCCTTGGAGAGAGACATCATGCTTGGTAGGGTGGAGGGACAGTGCAGGAGGAAAGACCCTCTATGAGGTGGATTGATTCACTGACTGGGGTAATCGGGATGGGTGTGTTGGAGACAGATTGGCACAAGACAGCAGCGCTTAGGGCTGTTGTACATAGGGTTGCTATGAGTTGCAAGCGACTCGACGGCACATAACAACAACAGCAACAACATTAAACACAATAAATTGTTTTAGAACTTATTTTCTGTAAATTCAGAATAGCCCCTTTTCCACAGATAAACTGGATTGGTGAAGTCTTGGTTTGGTATGGATTTATTATTATATAATATATTGATGATTTTTTTGAGAGTTATTTGTGTGGAAGCTTATAATTAGTATGTGGACCAAATTTGTGAAGTAGTTGCTCTCTTATCAACTAGTTGTTGTTGTTTATTGTTGTTTTTTAAATGGCACCTGAAAATAACAACAAAAATAGTACAAGTGCTTTATTAACATCCAGTGTATTTAGAATGCTTGAGGAATCAGTTTAGTAAGGTTATTGAATTGATTATTTTAGCTAATTGTTACTTTAAGCTCTATAAAACTAGTGTATATTAAGGAACACCTAACAAAAAGGCTGTACTTGTTTAATTTTGAGGGCTCATGATTATGAGTTATGGCTTAGTATTTTATGTGTAAATAATAATTCAGATTAAAAAATATTATTAGTGATGTTGCCAATAACTGCTGTAGATGTTAATTTGATAAATAATGTATAGTTGCCTGTAAGGTGATTTAATTTATACATTTACATTTACTAAATATTTATTTAATTTAATTTGAAAAAAAATTGTTCAATTACTTTTTACCTCATAATGCAGAAAGACTTATTTTTCAGTTTTAGGATTTCAGGTAAATAGTATCTATTTACTATACATAATCTTAGCCAAAAGGCCAGAGAAGAGGAAATAGATAATTTCTAGCAACAGTTGCAGTCAGAAATTGATTGTATATGTAACCAAGATGTATTAATAATAACGGGTGACTTGAAATGCAGAAGTTGGGAATCAGGAAGAAGGATCAGTTGTTGGAAAATATGGACGTGGTGACAGAAATAAGGCTGAAGAGAGAATGATAGAATTCTGTACAATAAGATTATTAGCAAATGCTAATAACAAACACAGGTTATACACATGGATTTCACCTGGTGGGCTGCACAGGAATCAGATTGATTACATCTGTGGAAGGAACCATTGGAGAAGTTCAATATCAGCAGTGAAAATTAGGCCAGGTGCTGATTTGACCATCAACTGCTCATAAGTAAGTTCAAATTGAAACTAAAAAAAGTTAAATCATATCCACAGGAATCAAAATTTCACCTTGAGTCTATTTCCTATGAATTTAAAAACCAACTCAGGACTAGGCTTGAGGCCTTGAATACTAATGAAAAAAGACCAGATAAGCTGCGGGAAGATATAAAAAATATAGTTCATGTAGCATGCAAAAATTCATTAAAAAGAAGGAAAAAGAAGAAAAGATCAAAATGGATGTCAGAAGATATTCTGAATATTGCACTGGAGCACTGAGAAGCCAAAGCAAAGGGAAGAAATCAAGAAGTTAAGGAGGTGAATAGAAGAGTTCAAAGGGCCGCTTGGGAAGACAAGGCAAAATATTATAATGAAGTGTACAAGGAGCTGGAGTTGGAAATTCAAAAGGGCTGAACTCACTCAGCATTTCTTATGCTGAAAGAACTAAAGAATAAACTCAAACCATGAGTTGCAGTGCTTAAGGATGCTATGGAGAGAATATTGAGTGATTCAAGAACCATTAAAAGAAGATGAAAGGAATATACAGAGACTTTGTACCAAAAAGAATTGATTGACACAGAAGAATTTCAAGAAACAACATATGATCAATAGACAGTGGTGATGAAGGAGGAAGTGCAGGCTGCTCTGAAGGACTTGACAAACAAACAAATAAATAAACCCCTCCCTCCCCAGGAATTGATGGAATACCAATTGATGTATTTCAGCAAAGAGATGTTTTTCTGCATGTGCTCACCAGGTTGTGTCAAGAAATCTGGAGGACAACTGCTTGGCTAACTGGAAGAGATCCATATTTATTCTCATTCAAAAAAAAAAAAAGATGACAGAATGTGGAAATTATCAAACCATATCACTAATATCACACACTAGCAAAATCCTGCTGACGATTATCCAGAAAAGACTTAACAATACATTGACAGAGAACTACCAAAAATACAGGCTGGGTTTAGAAGAGGTTGTGGCACTAGGGACATTATTGCCAATGTCAGATGGATCTTGGCAGAGTATCAGAAGAATGTCTGCCTGTGTTTCATTGACTATGCAAAAACATTTGTTGTGTAGATCATAATAAATTGTGGCCAACCTTGAGGAAAATGGGAATCTCAGAACACTTGATCATGCTTATACGAAACCTATACTTGGACCAAGAAGCAGTCCTCAGAACAGATTAAGGAAACACTGAATGGTTCAAAATCAGGAAGGGAGTGTATTAGGGATGCATCCTGTCCCCACACATTTTCAATCTGTATGCAGAACAGGTCATTCTGGAGGCAGGGCTTTATGAGGAGGAGTGTGGCATCAAGATTGGATGAAGACTCATTAACAACCTACAATATGCAGATGAGACAACCTTGCTTGCTGAAACTAAAGAAGACCTGAAGCACTTTCTGCAAAAGGTCAAGGACTGTAGTCTTCAATATGGATTGAAGCTCAACATCAAGAAGACAAAGATTCTCAACATTGGGCCAACTGGCAGCATCATATTAGATGGAGAAGAGATTGAGGTTGTTAAAAATTACAGCTTGCTTGGAGCCACGGTCAACACTCTTTAACACCAGCAGTCAGGAATTCAAAAGACAAATTGCATTGAGAAATATGCTGTTATGGAACTCTCCAGAGTGCTGAAGATCAACAATGTCAGTCTAGATACAAAGGTGCACCTAATCCAGGCCATGGTCTTCTCAATTATTTTTTATGCTTCAGAGCGCTAGACAGTGACTAAGAATGACAGAAGAACAATAGACGCTAATATACATGGCATTGAAACAGAAGAGGGAAAGAACTGTATAAAAGGAATATGTTAGTAGGTATTATTGGCATGACAAGAGTCCAGAATAAGAGCTGCCTAGTAAAGTGGACTGGAGGTGGGGGACGACTGTATAACAATGGAAGAATTGGTGTGTTTTTTTTTTTCCCCCCAAAGAGAAAAGCGAACTGGGAATAGGGAGGAAAATGTGCAACAATGAATGAATGGAAATCCAAGTTCTCTATAAACTTTTATTGAAATTTCAATTAAAAAAAAAATAGATGCCTTTGAATTGTGGTGCTGGTGGAGTCTAGAATATACCAGGGACTTCCCAGAAAAGGAATAGGTCTGTCTTGGAGAGGATGAAACCAAGATTCTCCTTGAAGGCTAGGATTTTGAAGCTCCGCCTCACTTACTTTGGGCATATGGCCAGGAGAGCAGTCCTTGGAAAAGGACATCATGCTTGGAAGGGTGATGGATAGCGCAGGAGAGGAAGATCCCTGATGAGATGGATTGATATAGTGACTGGGGCAGTGAGGGTTGATATATCAGAATTAGTGAGACTGGCTCAGGACAAGGAAGGGTTTAGAGCTGCTATACATAGGGTCTCTATGTATCGCAGGTGACTCAACACACATAACAGCAATAACATACTACTATTACAGGTTTGGAAGCAGGAGTGGCATCCACTTCCTTAACAATATGCCTCTGGAAACTCTGAACTTTGATAAATGTTGATAGTTGTAGAAGGGCCTTTTGTTCATGGGGTCTCTGTGAGTCGTACTTGACTCAAACATCAGCAACAACAGAATGTATTATTTAAAAAGTACATGACTTGTCTTGTGAGTTTTGGTTTGGTAGTAAGTAATCCGTTTATCTAGTTATATCTTTTGACTTCAACTCCCTTTTCCTATTATTTCTAGATATAATTGTGATTCTTGAATTCTTTCTGCAAAATCAGAAATTTCTCTTTTTGTCAGCCCTAATGTATGTTATATAAGTTATTCAAGTATGGTAATTTTCTGTTATACTTTAAGTAGAGATGAATTATTTAAACAATAATAAAAAGATTTTTTTTTGGAGAGAGTTTAAATTATTAAACATATCCTTAAAATTTTTTCTTCTGAAGAGTGAATTGGATGTTCCATTTAAAGTCAAGGCTGGCCAAATTGGTAAGTACTTCTCAATTAATTTAACTTTAACCCTTTTAGTATACCCCCCCTTACATCTCTTTTAGCTTGACTAAATGTACAGTTATTATTATTATCAGTATTGCTTATGATGATTAGAGTTTTTAAGAGTTCTAAAACTAATGTATATATAATATGTATTGCACATACTTTTATGTTTTTGGCAGAAGGTAGTAAATAACTCTTATGGAAGTAAAACTACAGTTTAACTATTTAGGATTTATTTTTAACACGTCAAACAAATAAACGTTTTCAAGTTTGAAACAGAAATTTTGTTTTTTTTCCTCTTCAAATGCAAAATAATATAATTTGGAATTCTAGTAAATACATTTTAAATAGAGCTATTTCCTTCATGTTTTGTTCATCCATTTTGACTTGATATATTATGCAGCAGTTTGATATGGATGATTTATTTGGGTAAGTAGAAATTCTGTTTCTTCACAGTTAGGCTTTTTTTACTAAGATCATAACTAGTATACATCTGTATGGAGAAACTTTTCAGTAGGAAATTGAATCTAGAAAGTCCTTCCAACTAGTACATGCCACCTGATATACTTCATTTTTCCTTTTTCTTTTTTTAATGTAATTCTAATGGAAGTTTACAGAAAGGTTGGGTTTTCATTCATTCATTGTTGCACATTTTCCTCCTCCCTCTTTCCTTCCCCCTCCCCCAGTCCACTTTGCAATGTACCTCTTGTTCCATATTGCTGTTGCACATATAATAGATTTACCTCATTTTTGAAATGTAAATGCAACCTTTGGCTTGTTCACTCTTTTTTTTTGGAATTTGTTCCTTAAATGCTGACATTCATTCCACTGCTCCTTCTACTATATCACATTACTTTCCTTTTTTATTTCCTCATTTTATATTTGAGAAGCCTTTCCTGTTTAATAGTAAATGCCTGTCATGACATTATAATGTCTTAGCAACTAAAGCAATTGAGCACTTAATGTCTGAGTGTATTTTGTTTCTTGTATATATGTTCCTTATAATAGAAAGTAACTTTTGCATGTTTGCCCCCCTCTCCTCTTGGAACAAGAAGCATTCTCTTAGATTGAAAGTATCTCTTGTTATATACTACTTCATAGGGTTATTTGATATTTTTAGGTAGAGCCTTGTTTTGGTTTTGGTGATAGATAGCAGTGATTTAGAGGTATTGTGACTTTTATACTTAAATAAAAGTCCTGAAATTATAGCCATTTGTTCATCCATTTTACCTTTTAAGTATTTATGCATTTGTGCATTAATGAGTTTGGAAGTTACTGAGACCCTCACTTTTTACACCAGCTAAATGTTCTCTAATACCGCTTTCACTTCTGACACTAAGTATAATTTCAGAAGCTCCCAAGACCACTAAGTTTTTGTGATTTATTTTAAGGATTCACTTGAAAGCTGTTATACTGAAGACCATGTAGCTTATCAGAAGTTTTAGGCACTTTGGAAATCAAGCTGATACTGTGTAGCCCAAACACCACTCCCATAAATCACATTTAGTATGTATGGCTATCTGGTGTGACTCAAGATCCCCATTTAACAAAGTACTGTTAACAAGCATAGTCCAAGGGCTCTTAGAGATCACCTGTCAGGATGCCAGACCTCTCATTGGGCAAAGTTAAGTCTTTACAATGTAGAAACTATTCCAGAGAAAGGCAAAGATGTATATGTTATGTCTCCATGGAAGCTACAGAGATAAAAATCAGAATATAGTCATAGTATTGAAATTATATTTCTAATGTTTTGAATGAGTTCTGGTTCATTAGAAATATTTTTTCTTTTTACTTATTTTTAAAACTAAATTTATGTATTGTGGAGATTTTCTAATGGTTGGTTCTTTCTGCTTTTAAAATCTAAGGGTGTTAAAGATGTTCTTTCAGGATTATTCATTGAATTATGAGGGATATTTTACACAGCAGGATACAAATTTAAATCTTTAAATTTATCTCCTAATTTTTTGTTTCATAGAGCATTTATATTTAATTTCTGTTTAACTTAAGCTAGTGTTTATGGCTTTTAGGGTCAGTGTTACTGTAAGCTCAAGAAATATTTGAGGTTTTTTTAATAGCAGTGCCTATTTTTAGCTTCCCCTGGTTCTGTGTTTATTTACTTATTTTTAAAAAGAACATAGTGATATAATGAAATGAATTCCAGGACCTTTATAAAGGAGGGAGCGATTGTCTATTAGGATAAATGCAAAGAAAGGTGCTTAAGGAAATGACAGCTCTTTTTTTTTGGATGTCACTTAATGGTGTATTTCCAGCTTTTCCACTCTGAGGCTTACCAAGAAGATAAAGAAATCAGTTTTACTAAGATCTTAAGGGATTGTTATGTAATATCTGTTATAAATAAAGGTGATTCTCAAAACTCATAAGACTTAGATATGACCCAGAATTGATTACTGGTACTACTGTTAGGTTTCAGGCAGGTTTAGAAATAGAAGAAAACGAAAAATTTAAATGGAGAAATAATTTATTGTTTTAACTTTGGAAATAGTTTCCTAATTGAAACTTCCACATATTCAGCCTTCCAAGTGCCCCAAAGTGTTCCCCTTATGTTCCATTATTTTGTTTTCACTTTGACTCTTTTTATAGTTTACCACTTCTTTCAGCTTTGTGCCAGTGATAATTGCCGTGATAAGTTGAATCAAGTGCCTTTCTCCCAATAGTATTGATCAGCAGCTTGATTAATAGCATTGCAGCTTTTAATGGCATTGTTACTATTTTAATTATTAACATTGATATTGTTTTATTTTAATACAGAGAAGATTTGGAGAGTTAGAGAGGACGTATAGAGGAACATAAGGTGAAATTACACATTTGAGGGCAAATTGGGACATTTAGTATCTGAGACCTGGAAGGCAGGGCATATTGGATAATGGGATAAGATTAAAGAAAAAAAAGAGAATCTTACCAGAGTCTACTTGCTTTAAAATATAGGTGATAGCATGGTCCTTTTGTCTTGTAGAGCCTTTTCTCAGAAACTCTAAATTGGGTTATCAATTTTAAGACAATAGTTCATCTATATTTTTCCTGAAGACATTTTGTGGGCTAGTCTGAAAAATATGATATTAATATCATCGTTTCTAAGAAAGAAAATTTGATCTGCCTTGCAAGTGGCTTATAATATTTGAAATTTGATGGTCTGGACTGCTTGTAACTTGTAATTATAACCAAAGAACAGTTTAACTTGACTTAACAGTTGGCCTCTTTCAATTGTAGACATTTGGCATTCTTTCATATTTTTATTCCTCTGGTAATCTTTGTGGTGCTGCTTTGATTTGTGGAATTTTGTACACGTTACTTTTATAATTGTTTCTTTCAGCTTAAAGATTGTAGAAAATGATATGAATATGTAACTGAAATTGCTGGTGTGACAAGAATAGGAACTATAATATGTTTGATTAAAGGAGAAGCATTGAGTCTTGGCAATCCTTAGATAGTTAATTTAACTTTTCTGAAATAGAATTTTATTGTTTTAAAAATGGAAATGATGGCTATATTATTTGTTCTAAAGTTTCGGAATATTAAATGATAGTTATCAGAAAATTTGTGTAAAGCATATTAGTTTTTATGTTGGTAGTATATGGAAAAGGTTTTTATAAATGTCAAGAGTTGTAATTTTTCTTTGTGGACTAGTCTCTGTACACATATTATATGTATGAAGAGTTTTGTTATAGTTACAACTTTTGTTAAATTTATACTTTCCTCCTAATAAAAAAATGATATTTGTGTATTTTCTTGAGCAATCAATGAGAATTTAATGGTGAATTTATGTTTCTTTAGATAAATTAACTTTGAAGATCCCTTGGAAGAACCTATTTGGAGAAGCAGTTGTTGCAACCCTAGAGGGATTATATCTGCTTGTTGTCCCTGGAGCAAGTATGTTATTTTATGACCTAACTATTGAGTAAGATTGTGTTGAAACGAAATTGTTACCTGGCTTAATATATTTTGTAAAAATAGAACAAGCATACATATGTACATTTTAATATCCGCTTTCCTTTGTAAAATGTTTTTGTTTATTGGAAAGAATAACTTCAGTTATTTGTTATGTGCGCTGCTAACCACTTTCAGAGGGGTCACAGGGGAAGATCTCTACAGAATAGGGGAAAGTGTGGAACAAAACTTTCTGGTGTGATAGAGACTGGTAGAATCATTGAGACTCTGATCGTTAGTCATTCTTAGAACCTGGAACAAAGCTCACTTCTCTGATGCAACTTTATTCAAACAGTTTTTGCTATTGAATCAGAGCTGACTTAAGTGGCCCTATGTATGACAGATTCTGTGTACATCCTCACAATGCCTACTGTATTTACATTGTGGTCACTAGGTTAAATCTATCTAGTTGAGGGTCTTCCTCTCATACTGTTGACTCTACTTTTCTAAGGACTTTCCAAGGACTTGCCCTTTCTGACAACTCTGTATGAGGCAAGATTTCACAACTTGGATGCACCCTGGATGCATCTCTTCAAAGACATATTTGTTTGTTCTTTTGTCAGTCCATGAGATAGATATTCAGTATGCTTCTCCCACACTACGATTCAAAGCTATCAGCTCTTCATTCTTCCTCATTTATTTGGTGCATATGAGTAATGGAAAGGGATCAGGATTACAATAGATAGGTCTGTAAGGTGAACTTGTCAGCCCTTTGTAGAATAACCAACAATATAAGGTCTGAACGATTAAGATAAAGTCCAGAAGGTAGAAAGGATAAGGATTAATGGAAATGGAAATTTTAGAGAAAGTGTATGATTGTAGTGTGGACATTGTCTCATGATATAAAAAAATTTACATGAATTGGAGTATACAAAATGTACATGGCTCTATTACTCTGAACTGGGTACAGCTGTTACTCTGAACAGTACACCTAATTCTTATAGATATGTCTATATATGCCTTTTATAGTCTTTCTCTCTTCATGCTCATATGTGAATGGAAATGAGATTAGTAGATTAAAAGACTCTGTGTGTGTGTGTGTCCTTCTGTCCCTACTGTCTTGTTCTTCCTTCTTCTCTCATTTTTTTCTTTTGTCCTTTTCTTTAATTTCTGTCTTTCTCTTTTGTGGTATAAGCTTGTGTGTGTGTGATATACTTTATAAGTAAATAAGAATATATTTAAACCTTCTTTTTAGAACTAATAGAACAAAAATGAGTTTTGAATTTAATTTTTTTACATTAAATTAACACAAAATTGTAGTGAAATTAAACTTTTATGATTTTTGTTGATCAATTTTATTTTTTTTTGATCAATTTTATTTTTACATGAATTGTCTGTATGCTTTTAGGCATTAAATATGATGCTGAAAAAGAAGAAAAGGCTTTGCAGGATTGTAAACAGAAAGAGCTATGTCGAATTGAAGAAGCCCTTCAAAAAGCAGCAGAGAAAGGTACAATTTATATGCCTATACTCAGATATACTTCAGTACACCTGTAATTTTGAAATATTTAATGACTTGGAAAGAGAGTACTTATTTTTGAGCCTTTGTAGTAGCAGCAAAGAAAAAATCTTCCTTTAAAGTCACACCTCAAAATGTAGATTACAAATATTTTTATGCCTCACATTGGTAATAATTTTTTTTCTTCAGTGTTTGTTTTATCTGCCACTTTGTAAAAACCATTAATCAAATCAATCAAATCCATTGGTGAGTAGTCTATTCTGACTTCCTGTGACCCTGCAGGACAGAGTAGGACTGCCCTGTGTGTAATATTTCCAGGGCTGTGAATCTTTACAGAAGCTACCTGCCACATATTTCTCCAGTAAAGAAACTGGTGAATTCAAACCACAAACCTTTTGGTAACTACTTCATTACATACTTTGAGTGTTTTGGTAGCTTTTTATAGAATGACCTGTAATTTCTGCATTGGGCCAAATACTTACAACAAGAAGAATTAAAATCACAGTTAAAGAATTTTGATGAGCAAGCTAATTTAAAGTATATTTCTTAGTAATTTAACTAAATGTCAGCAACTTAAACCAAAAACAAAGGACTCTTCTGGTTGTTATTTCTGACTCTGTTATTTTTATGTATTTTTAAAAGGCCCATATAGTTGTAACAGTTGTTTTATTGCTGTATCTATCTGAGATGTTGTTGGTTACCATCAAATTGAACCAACCCACAGGTGACTCTGGCAGATTTTTCAGAGGTGGTTAATCACATGGGAGGAGATTGCCCATCCTTCTCCTGCAACAACATATTATCATATGTACAAGAGATTGAAACTATCTGATCCTATTCTATCCTTACAATCTCTACTGTGTTTAAGGCAGTTGTTGCAGTAACTGATCAGCCTGTCTAATCAAGGGGTTTTTATCTTTTTTTTTTTAAATTTTATTATTATTCGTGTGTGTGTGCGTGTACTGTCAAATTAGATCTGACTTGTACAGGAGGAGATTGCCCCTCCTTCTTTGGCAGAGCATCTGATGGATTTGAACTGTGCACCTCTGGGATTGCAGTGCAGCTTCTTGCCACTAGGCCACCAGAGCTCGCCTGGGGTTTTTCTCTTAACACAAACAGTATTATAGAATGAAAAGAAAGACTAAGAGAATTTTAATTTCTCTCCTGAAACCATTAAGATTAAACACATTATTTTAATATGTGTAATTTTATATATTTATCATTAAGTATAATAGAATTGATGCCTTTGAGCTGTGGTGCTGGAGAAGAGTATTGAGAATAC